TGGACCTTGTTGGAGCATACGTAATCCTAAAATGTAGCATCGTACTACAGATGACGTTTACCGCGCCATTTGTGGTATTTTCTAAAACGCGCTGTTAAGACAGCAGGTAAAAGTTGGTCTGTGTTCTGTCGGAGCTGCCTGCGACGCGCTGATGAGATCCAAAAAGATCGACTGGCAGTTTCGACAGAATACAGACCACTTCGAATTATTTTATTCGATTCGTTTACAAGTGTTTTACTTTTAGATTACATTGGGTATTTAGTTTTATTCGTCATCAGTTCTTTTCTTATCAAGCAGCTAGGGAAATATGAACATTTATGGTCATTTCAACATTTTCAGCGAACTTACGCAGTGAAAGTGATTCAACAAACGTTTAACACTGCGTGACAAGGTGAACTGACCTACATACATGCATCTGCATAATGCTTATGTATGTATGTACATAATTATAAACAAGAATGACACTTAACAAACGTACAATGCAAGGAAGATGTTGCAAAGAACGAAAAATTATATTTATGTATGTGCGGCATGGAATTTGAACTGCAATGTTAAAAATTGAAACGCTTTTTGGATTATTTTGCTTAATTTACAATTAGTATAAAATATGCCATTAGGTACTTACGATATTTGTGTCAATACATAAATGGAGCATTACCTGAAACAAAAGTAAAATAATTAATTCTGAAAACTTTACAGTGAAAAGATACAATCATAAATTAACAAAATTCCTTTTTTTATTCCTTTACATGCAATGACGTTTGTTCGCACAAAAGCTCAAGATCATCATTTCAAGACAGAATTGTAAAAAGACATTATTACATTGTAAAATAGTGCACATTTTGAAAATCGGATTTCTAAGAATTCCTTTATTTCTAGCAGAATTCAATTCAACCTTCAAGGATGTGTTTACAACGAGAAAATGTCAAGGATAACGGTTGACGACGAAAGAAGCGCTCCGAGAAAACAAGCAGTAGTACCTTCTTTGTAGCGTCACAATTTCCAACATCGACTTTTTTCATTTTTGTTTTTCATCAGCATTTCCACAATCATCCGCTCTCATGATTTGATATTTCAAAACATTATAATTTAATTATCAAATTATTAACTAATTATTCTTGGAACATTGCTGTAGACATTATTTATACGTTACTTTATGTATGTCAAGTAACAGGTAAAGTATCTTTATCATCTAAAATCAGCGACTGATGAGATTAAATGCATTCACTTAAGTTGCATGCAGTATGTGGTGTGCACACTTGGGTATTTCGCCAGGGAATTTCCCGTTTTATACACGATACATAGCTGGCAACACAAGTGCTCTTTGTGCTAACGCTTTGAATAATAAACAGACCATCATCTCCCACATCCAGTTTGATACGAAACTTACGAGATGTATAGGGTTGTTCGGAAAGTCATTTCGTTTTTTTTGTGGAAATGAAAGACAGTTTTCGTATAATAAACAAACACATTATTAAATTATATATTGACCGTTCTAGTCCAACACCTTTTGCCATCTTTTTGGTAGTAGCATAATTCCACGCTCATAAAATTTTTCGTCTTTGCTGACAAAAAACTGATCGAGGAGGTTTTGGACCTCCTCATTTGAGGTGAAGGTTTTACCGTCTAAAAAATTTTGGAGTGACCGTAACAAATAATAATCCGATGGTGCCAGGTCTGGAGAATACGGTGGGTGTAGCATTGTATCCCATTCAAGCTGTAAAAGCTTTTGGCGAGTGACCAAACTTGTGTGAGGTCTCGCGTTGTCTTGGTGAAACACTACACCTTTCCTGTTGATTAGTTCTGACCTTTTCTGTTGAAGTGCATCATTCAGTTTGTCCAGCTGATGACAGTAGACTTCCGAATTAATCGTTGTGTTATCCGGTAAAAGCTCAAAAAAAACGATTCCTTTAAAATCCCACCAAACAGACAGCATCACCTTTTTTTGGTGAATATCGGCTTTGGAAATGGTTTGAGCCGGTTCATCTTTTTTGCTCCATGACCTCTTGCGTTTGACGTTGTTGTATACAACCCATTTTTCGTCCCCAGTGATGATGCGCTTCAAAAACGGATCATTTTCGTGACGTTTGAGAAGCGAATCGCAGACGTCAATGCGGCGACACAGATTTCTCTCTGTGAGAACATGGGGAACCCATACATCGAGCTTCGAGGATAATCCCAGGCCTTTCAAGTGGTCATAAACTGTTGAATTTGATAAATTTAACCTCAATCCGATCTCACGTGTTGTTATTCGCCGGTTCACATCAACTAATGCCTTTATCGCGTCTTTATCAGCTTCAACCGGCCTTCCCGAACGTGGTGCATCTTCGACATCAAAATTGCCGGATCGAAATTTAGCGAACCAGTTCTGGCACTGGCGTACTGTCAACACACCTTCTCCATACACATCAGTCAATTTCTTTCTGGCTTGAACAGCATTTTTACCCTTTCTGTAGTAAAACAGTAAGATATGTCGAAAATGCTGCTTATCGCTCTCCATATTTAAAAGGGCACCAACCAAAAACTACTGCGTAGAATTAATTGGAATTTTTCACACACAAGCCTTCCTATATGAGCTCTCAAAGCACATAAAAATTATACGGCTTAAATGTGAAGTTGGGTGCAAAAGAATACAATTAAATCTTCTGTCGGGAAAAAACGAAATGACTTTCCGAACAACCCTATATTAAGCCCGAGGAATTAAAATCGTAAAACGGGTGAGAGCTTCCATTTTTCCGTATCTACCATAATGATAGCAATATTTATCTTCAACTTACTCAAGTGATTTCTAAACCATAAAACTTGAATTCACTATGACGGTTTTACAGATTGCTTGTCTTAGGGTGTAGGAGGAAGGGTTGGTCTTCCTTTACCGATGAGAGTTATTGTGAAATAACATTTCGTCATGAGAATTCAATGTCATATGAAATATATGCTAATTAATTCACCATTTCTGTTAACATTTCATTCATATGCCAGAATTTTCATATAATTTTCTCTTCTCAGCCCGTATCATGTAACGAAAATTATTTTCCGATATCGAACTTCTTCAGGTGTATTATTAGGTTTATTTTTATGTACATCTACGTCTCTCCGGTTCGCGGTCTCAAATCTATATCGAGCCAGGTATTTTTAGAAAATCGACCTGGAACCAGATCTTTTGTTTCCGCCATTTTAACTAACGAGGTCATATAACTCTCGGGTTCCGCGTTTAAAAAGTCCACATCAACTATTCCAATGAACAAGATTTAGGTTACAACGCGGACTTCACGACGCAATCCGCGATCAATTTATAAATATTTTAAATACTCGTTCAAAGTCACGACAATCCTTGAACGATCTAATAAAACACAACCTTCAGAAAATCGTTTAAGCCGAGGGTTTGAAGAGAACAATTTAAAAATATTTTTGTTCTTTTTTTTTTCTCTGTTTAACTAAAACCTTCTGGATTTTATTTACGAAAATCTTCTACATCAATTCTTATCACAATGTGATGATTCTTGATTCTCCTAATTCTCCAAATTAACCATTGCTTTTAATATCCCGTAGGTACAAAAATCCCCTAATTGAAGTAAAAACCGCAGGTAGTTTTTTTCACATGTCCTTAGAAAACTCGTTCTATTCAACAAAATTATTTTGATATTTCGAAGGCGGCGACATTTACGAAAATATGAAGTTCACGCTTCCCGAATTATAAATAAAAGCCGGTAAAGGTCTAGAAGATTGCCCCCACCCACTTCGGGGAAGGGGGTGGGGGAGATCAAAAGAGGAGGTCTCCCCCACCACTGTACCATAAAAAGTTAGTGGCGGTCTAGATGATGGCCCCCAGCCACTTCGGGGGTGGTGGTGGGGGGATCTAAAGAGGGCGGTCACCTGAGTAAAACCCCATAAGAAATTTGCGGCGGTCTCACCCCCATAAAAAGTTATGGTGGTTGAAAGTTGATTATTTTGACAATTTTCATACACTATAATTCAAATAAAATTCAATAAAAAAATTATTTTCAAGCGGGTGGAGGTGGGGGATCGAAAGAGGGTGGTCACTTGAACAAAACCCGATAACCTAACCTAACCTACCCTATTGATAAAGATATTTAAATAATGTTTTATATTAATTTCTCAATATTTTTATGTATTTTTCATTAGTTTTACCTTTGAATATTGTTTAAGAATGACTATATAAATATTTACATGTCTAGAAATGTATAAAAATTGGCATATTTATTATCTTTGAACCCCCATAACTTTTTACGGGGGTGAGACCGCCACGAACTTTTTATGGTACAGTGGTGGGGGAGACCTCCTCTTTCGATTCCCCCCTCCCACCTCCTTCGGGGGTGGGGGGCCATCATCTAGACCTTTACCTGAAGGCCACGTACTCACATACCTTCCTCCTTTTAATATCGTAAAAAGCTCTCTTTCTCTATTGAAAATATGGAAGTATTATTATGAGTTAGCAGATAGATGCTGCGTATAATTTTACAGTACCATTTGGAATTCTTTCATACACGATGTTGCACAAAATGTGCAAGCATCTGGAAGAAAGAGAAAATGGATTTCATACGAGGCAAAATGTTGTCTTTGTGTATTTGAAGCACACAATTTACCATTTGCATGTCGCGAAACTCGACTTAATTGGCGGAATGTACTTGACAGGTTGTTTTGAAAACATGCTCTAAGGGCTCTGAAAAATTCTTTAGAGCTCTCAAAAAATAAAACGGGACAACGTTAACTTTTTTCGTGCAAACCGAAAGCGAATTCCGGTAAAATACAATTAACTACTTGAAGAATGATTAAAACAAAAAAATATCATGAAAAATTATCAAATAAAAGTACGATAGATAAAATAAACAGATTTTATTGATGCGGTACAGCAAACAAAAAAAAATCAATACTAGTGATTGATGATACTTGATGAAAATCTGTAGTAAATAGATAATAAAACAACTTATGTAATCATCTGTACTAAAACTTTTACAACCAATACCATAAGGTGTTACTGTTTCGTCAAGCTTGTGGTTCTTCAGATAGCGAATGAATACCTGGTATGTAAAATTAAGTTATTCTGTTATCGATCAATTCCTTAACACCGATGGTAAAAGAATGGTACAGTTGAAGTTGATAGACCCATTGAATAGTTCTTAAAATAGTCTGTTAACTATAATGGTTGAATCATTTAACATAATACCTAGTTTTCTGTTTCGAAAAACTATTTTTATGTTCACTTAAACGTGTACTTAAGTTTGTCTGCGTTTGGCCTATATAAACCATTAGGTATGACCCACAAATTAGTCTCAAAGTCATAGGTTTCATTTTTACCTGTTTTGCCTTATATGGAACCAAAGTTTAAAGAAGCAATTGTTAAAATTTTTGGTTTGTAACAAAACAATACTAGTGAAAATTTTAAAGTTGTTTTACAACTGTAATAAAAATAAAATACATACTCCAAAATCGATTTCCATATGAATTAAACAGTAAATGTTCACTTTCGATTTATTAGACAGATAACCAGTAGGTAGTCGAGGACGTGTCGCGATATAATGTAATTTACACTTTAATTACATCCTCGATAATAATGAAATGCTGATGAGTGAAAGGTAGAGACATACGAGGGTGGATTGATAAGTTTCCGGCCTGACCAAGAAAAACAAGGTTTTTAAA